CCAACAGCTCTTAGGGCTTAGCCAGGAGAAGGAGGGCATATCCCTGGCAGAGAAAACTGTGTGGCCTTGGGGAGGCCTGGCTCACGTAAGAAACCTCACTGTGGCCAGAACGAGGTGGAGGAGGGCGAAAGATGAGGCTGGAGAGAGAGGTGGGTCGGGAAGAGCAATGGGAGCTCCTGGGGAGTCTGAAGCAGGAGAGAAAGGGGTGGGGTTTGAGTTTGGGATACATGCCCCTGATTGCAGTGATGGCCCCATGGAAGGGAGCCCAGCTAACAGGGCTCATTCATTCATTCATTCTTTCTTTCAGCAAACACCTGTGGCCCCCCTGCTGGATACTGGGCCCTGTGTTGTGTGGGGATCCAGGGGAGGGCCCACAGTGGCCTGGATGGTGGCCGTGATGGAGAGAAGGGACGGAGAGTGGAGGAGGCACTCTCACTGTTACACAAACACATCCTGGCAATTCACAAACTGGCATCCGGTTCCTGGACCAGTTGTGCATGAATTTGGAGACTGGGGACCGATGATTTCAGAGGTGGAGCGCTGACTGGCAGGGCTGAGCCCACACGTCAGGGGCCCACAGCGGCAAAGCTCTGCCTCCTCCTCCTGCCCCCTCACTGCCCCAGGCTCCGGGGACGCTTCCTCCCGTCAGGTTGAGGATGGCCAGCACTGGCCCTCAGCAGTCAGACACCCCGGTTTCTCTTCATCAGTCCTGGCAGGGAGTGAGGGGACTCCTCTAGGACCGCAGGGAAGGCGGAGGCCCAGTTGGGACACAGCTTGTGCGTCTGTTTCTGTGCTCTGCACAGCTACCCTCCCACCCTCCCCAGCCTGCAGACTCGGAAGGAGGGAACTGTCTCCTCCATCAGACTGTGGTTTTCTGAGGGTGTCTGCCCCCTCAGATTAGGGATTTCTGGGAAGCATGAGGAATGATAATGCAAGTCAGGAAAGCTGTTTTGCTGCTGCTGCTTAATAGTTTGAATTTGCAATAATCCTATATAATAAAAGGCCAGGGATCATAAGCATAAGGACCAGAACGACTGCTCTACCAGTTGCCAGGAGGTGCATTGACCAACTCTTGGTCCCTCCCCTCCCCCACCTCCTCATTCCCCCCATCTCCCCATCCCCACCCACAGGTGAACTGGGAACCATGGGAAGTGGGTGGGTGGTGATGGGGTGGGACTGGGGACTGGCAAATAGGTTGAACAGCTGACCTCTTGGTCCCTCCCCCCCATCCCCGCCTGGCCTTCAGGCTTCGATGGATCAGCGATGGTGAATGGGGGAATTGGGGCAGGTGGCGGGAGGACCCACCTGGCTGTCAGGCTGTACGAATGGATCCCCAGCTCATCCACAGCTGCTCGGGGGCTCAGAGTGGTGGGAAAGCAGGCGCTGGCTACTTCACTTCCATGCAGGTGTGCTAAGCTGGCCCCTGATGGAACGTGCTGCCCGCTCTGGGCTGCTCACGCAGGCGCCACCACCTCTGCTGGGGCTTGCAGCACGGACGGAAGCTGTGGGCTGTGCCTGCAACCTACCTACCCTGGCAGTGGAGGCAGCGCTTAGCTTGGGGACTGGCGAACGGGCAGATGGCCCAGATCACAGGCTAGGCCTAGGGACCGTACCTGAACGATTATGTAAGATGGGCAATAATAATAATACCTGTTGTGAGCATTAAACTACAGATAGAAGAGATAAGATGGAAAGACCTTTGAGAGACAAGGACAGGATATAAATACCAAGCACAAACCATGGGAAATGGCCAGAAGTGAGAGCAAAGGGAACCAGACCAGAGCTCCAGGAATGCGGGGTTTTTTATCCTTTCATACCTGTTTCCCACGTGTCCAGGACAGAGCCTGGTATGTAGTAGGTGCTCAGTGAGCGTTAGTTGAAGACATGAATGGGGTGATGGCTGTGGAGAGCAGGGTGTCAGCTTACTACAAGGGCAGGGGGGCAGCTGGGATGTAGCAAGGAGGGCCAGGGGCCAGGAGGCTGCAGGGAGCTGGCCCGCTGGAGTGGGGGTGTCTGCCCCAGAGCCCCATGGACCTCTGGGGTTGAACAATGTACCCCATGAGCCTGCAGGTCTCTTTCCCTGATCCCATTGACCTGGGCTATGAATCTGGAGGCAGCAGAGGGAGTCCCCCACCAGGGTCTTCCCCTTGACTCCCAAACCACCTTCCATCCCTGAGCTCTGGGACATGATCATGACCCCTACAGGGCACCCTCCTGTGCTCTTGACCCCTCAGGAACTTGGGGTGCCTCTCTGTGCTCATTGCTGTCACTCCCTATTTTCAGACCTTTTGCTCGGAAAGCTCCCATCTAATCTTAGCCACAGTGGCAAGACCACACCTCCACCCCAACCCCCGTTTGTGGCTTATCACCCAGGAGCACAATTCTGTGAAGCTGTGCCCCAGCAGTCACTTCCTTAACTCCTGCGGGGCTGAGTAACCTGAGCCACAGGGAAGTACAGACAGAGCCGTGTTTGTCAAAGGGCTTGGTGAAATGGTCAAGTGCAAAAGAAAGGTAGTGCCGAGTGCAGTGGAGATACAAAGAAGTGTGTGTGTGTGTGTGTGTGTGTGACAGAGAGAGAGAGAGAGAGAGAGAGAGAGAGAGAGAGAGAGAGAGAGAGAGAGAGAGAGAGAGAAAGAGAGAAAGAGAGAGAGAGAAGGATGGTATCAAGTAGTTAAGAAGTGGTTGGTATTTTAAACAATGATCCTTTGAAAAACACATCTACAACCTCATGAAAAATGTGGTTCACTCCTGAAATCACAAAACTTTTCATTTTTTCCAACAGACTCAGAGTTGTAGCCGTGCCGTGGCGTTGGGAAGAAAGCCCCGGAATTGTCAGGGACGGTGCCAACCTCAGTGGCCCGAGCCGGCTGCGGGGGTTTGAACCCAGGCTCCCCGCCTTTCCAGGTCTTGCACAAGCACCTCTCTGGGCCTGCTTCCTTGCCTGTCAAATGGGGATGAGACACCCACCTCTCGAGCTGTGCAAGATCAAACGAGTTCACACACATACGACTTAGAGCCTGTAGGACAGTGCGGGGCGGACTGTGTCATCACCCCCGGCTCCCTGCTGTGATTAGAACCCTTCCCTGTCCCCACTCAACATGCACTGTCACCTCCTCCAAGGTGTGCTCTGCCTGCCTCATCTTAGGGAGCCTGTCCTTCCGCATTGCCTGCCTTTCACCTTTTCTCCCCCCCAGACCACCCCAAGTTTCCTCATGACCCTGCGGCTGTCCTCAGCCCTTCCCCCCATCTTCCCAGACTGCCCCCACCTCTCCCGCCCCTCCCCCACCACAGCACAAACCAGGCTGGACCGTCCATCTCATGTTTTATTGCAAAAATGTTAAAATAAATTACATCTGACATCATTGCCGGTATGTACATACAGTGTGTGTGATTCCAGGTCAGCCAGTGACACCCCAGCAAGGTGGGGTGGGAACGAAGACATATTAAAACATTTCACAGAAAAATGGGGCGCTCCTTCTCACCCCCGCTGTCCGGCCAGCACATCCCTCAGTTATGGGATGAGAGGGGGCGTGGACACACATGTCCATCGCTGCCTTCACATGTTGGGTTCTGGCCATGTGTGGTCCCACAGGATTGGAGAAGGGGCTGAGAAGCAGAGAGGGTGTTGGGGTCAAGGGTGACCACTCACTTCCTGCCAGGCAACCATCGGCTAGGACAAGTGCCCTTCCCCACCTCTGCTCACCTGCTGCTCTGTGCCCGCTCCCCTGCTCTGTGTGGAGACTCGTGACCTTGGCTGAGGTCACCAAGGAAGGCCCAACTGAGTTAGGGGCTTGGAGGGTGGACACTGAGCATCCCAATCCTTGGGACCCCGCTCTTTCTCTTTCTCTCCTTTGGCTCAAATGTCAAGGACAGATGCCAGGTATATAAAAACAGCAGTGTATTTAAAAAACAGCAAACCATGCAGGGCGGTGGGCCGGCCCCAGTGTCCATCAAGGAGAACCTAGGAACCCTGCCAGCCCCACCAGAAGCAGTTTGCGTGGTTTCACATTATCTTTAGCTCCCCCATCACAGCCTTTACACACACACATGCATGCACGCACGCACACATACACACATGCACACACGCATGCATGCTGGAGGGAGGAGCTTGGTTCACATATTTGGCCATTCCCACTAGTGAGCCAAGAGCAACCTGGGGAGCAGCGAGGTCCTTGTTCTGGGCACAGGGAGACGAGAGGGGGGCAGAGCTGAGCTGGCTCCTGCAGTTCCCTGGTCACCAGCTCCAGGAGCCCAGCCTGCCCCTTCCCTTCTTCCCACCACTTCCTGGAGGCAGAAAGCCCGCATCTACCATCCGAGACAGGGACCGGTCTCCGAGCTGGGCACAGCCCCCAGCAAAGCATCCAGATCTAGGACCTCAGCCCGCATGGGACTGGCTCCCACATCAGGAGTATGGATCTCTTCGCTCCCTCCCCGAGGCGGTCTCTGCCCCACAGTTTGCAGAGGGGCCAGACAGGCAGACAGAGGGAGGGGGAGGCCCTCAATTCTTGCCCCAGGTAGGGCCCTGCTCCTACAGAGGCCTGAGGAGCCCAGCCCCACCCCTTAGCTATGCCTCCTGCACAGGCAGGGCCCTCCCTCTCTCTGAAATGCCAGACCAGTGCTCAGCACACAGGAGCTCAAGTGGCTTTGGCCCGCCCTAAGAGAACCGTGTGACATTCTCAACCGCTTGATGGGTGAAGACCCACGCAGAGCAGGCCTCCGGGGGGTCGGTCCTGCCAGCCCACACGTGCCTGCGAGCCATCGCATGAACGAACCAGCTGTGCCCAGGACAGACGCCTCCCACTGCCAGGGTGCCGCCCGGCCGCACGGAGGCCCTGTCCTGGGCGCCCCGTGTGGCAGGCAGCAGCTAGCTGCAGGGGAAGGAAGGCGAGCAAGGCCCCTGGCCCCCCACTCCCGGTCCCAGGGGTCCCGGGCCCCGCAGGGAAGGCCCGGGATGAATGTCACGGAAGCCGTCAGAGGTTGAGTGGGGGGCCGGCCCGCCCTCACGTGTCCCTGGGGCAATCGGCCTTGTTGTACTCGTTCATAAGCTGTTCGTAAGGCACGGAGAACTCGGACTCGGTGCTGGTGAAGGTGGACTCATCCGAGGAGGGGAACTCGCCCAAGGTCAGGGGCGCCTGGGCCTCCGCCTCTTCCGGGGGCCGCTCCTCGCCGGCCAGGTTGTCCTCCAGCGAGGACTTGGACGTCTCCTCTTCCAGGAGGCTGGTCTCCTCGTTGGTGAAGGTGATGTTGGGGTTCTGGAAGATGAGCGGGTGGTAGTCCTGGGCGTCCCACGGCTCGCCCTCCTCGCTGATGCGGTCCAGCTGGTTGATGAAGACCTCGGAGGCGGAGGTGGGGGAGCCGCCTTCGGGGGGCCCGGCCCCGGCCTCCTCATTGGGGGATCGTGACACGTGCCCTTTGCTCCTCAGCGTCTGAGACACCTCCTCCAAGCTGGGCACCCGGTTCTTGGAGTAGAACACCAGGGGGGCCAGGGAGGCGGGGACGCCCGGCAGCCCATCCCCCTGAGGCCCCGGTCCCGGTCCCAGTCCCGGTCCTGGTCCGGGTCCCGGTCCAGGTCCAGGTCCGGTCCCGGGCCCCGTCCCCGGGCTTCTCTCCCCGCCCCCGCTCGTCTTCATGGCCTTCTTCCCGATCTGCTTGATGAGGTCGTTGTAGGTCTCCTCCTTCTTGGACAGGAAGCTGAAGATGTTGACGTCCTTGGCGGCGGGGCCGCCCGCCATCTGCAGCGCCTTCTTGGAGTGCGGGGAGCTCTCGAAGGACTCCTTCCGCCGCCGCCGCCGCTTCTTGATGGCCTTGTGCACCTCCACGAACATGCTCACCTTCCAGTTGACGAAGAGGGACAGCCAGGCCAGCCCCAGGTAGATCCACAGCTCCACGAAGTAGCGGTATAGGGCGTGGTAGTTGGCGCTAGGGTTCACACCTAAGGGCAGAGTGGGGAGCCCGGAGGGTCAGGAGAGGGTCCGTGGGGCCTGGGGACCCTCCATGGCCCCGGCCTCTGAGGACACCGGAGAGAGGAAGAGGGCCCGTGCTAGACGCTGGCCTGCCCCGGGCACTCATAGACCTTTCTCTCAGCCTCCCACCTGCCTGAGCCTCAGTTTCCTTCATTGCCAGCCGTCAGTGGGCAAGGACAGGTGGCTCGAGGGAGAGGGACCGGGGGAGGCTGGTGCTGGAGCCAGCACAGGGCGGGGGCAGTCCAGAATGTTTGCCTTTCGGTTAGTCACCCCTACACTAAGGTGATCAGACGTCCCGAATTTTAACTATTTTTAAATTTGGGGCTTTTTTAAAATGCCGTGGGATGTGGGACAAATTGTTAAAAATCAGCACTGTCCCACCAAAAGCGGGACGTCTGGTCACCTTACCCGACACCTACCTGCTTTGAGCACTTTTGGTGTATTTGCTACAGTCAGTTAAAACCAGGATGGGGACTGAGCGAGGCAGCTCTGACTAGATTAATGGAGACGAGGCTGATGGCTGGGCCGAGGGCTCACCACCTGGGCCCCGGCGGCTACACGTGGCAGGACTGCGCCTTTGTCTAAATGTACCTCCCGAAAAAGCAGGCCCAGCTCTGCGGAGTGTCCGGGCCTCTCTTTCCTGCTCCTCCCCCACTCAGCCACCCCCTGCCGGCAATCTGAGTCTCAGCTTACAATGGGGCAGAGGGGTGCTGACCTGGCCCTGCCCCTGCAGCACAGGCTGAGGTCAGCCGGGCAGGGCAGCATGCATTGGGGGAGCAAACGTGATGTCAAGAAGATTAAGAACCAGGCTGCTGTGCAGGCCCCAGGCACAAGTGCTAGTGTGACCAGCGGCCAGACAAAGGGGCCAAAGAACCTTATCTCCTGCCCCGATTAGGCAGGTAGGAAGGAGCGGGAGGGGTGCCCGGGCCCCAGCAGCTGGGGAGAAAGCCTCTCTTGTGTCTGAGCTGCCTGTGGCAACAGCAAGTTTCGGGCCTCTGAGCCAAGCCCCTGGGACCGCCCCCTCAGCTCCGATGACGGATGGCAGCTGTGACCGCGAGGGGCCCTGGGCAGCAGGCACAGACCCTGCAGGTGGAAGGCCCTATGTTTGGGAGATGGACACGCACATGCCTTTCCCAGCGCCCACTCTGCCAGGAATCGATCAGATGCTAAACGCGGAGCGCGGAGAGGAGGGAGCCAGGGAAAGAGAAGCGGGCATCCCCTGCGATGACTCTGAGCCTTGCTTGCCTCTTGCTGCTGGCAGGTAAGGTGGACCCCCGGGGGTGGGGGAAGCGGCCCGGACACAAAGCCCCATGAAGGTCAGCTGCATGGAGACTGGAGAAGCAGAGAGGGAGGGAGGGAGGCAGAGGCAGCACTCACCAGCCACGAAGTCGCCGAAGCCGATGGTGGAGATGGTGATGAAGGAGTAGTAGAGGCCCTGGATGTAGTTCCACTCCTCGGTCACCATGAACACGAAGGGCGGGATCACCAGGTGGACCAGCACGCCCCACACGATGAAGATGGCCGTGCACGTGATCTGCGCCTTCCGCTGGTGGGGGAGTAGGGAGACCAAGTCAGACAACCATGTCGATTGGGGTGGGGAGTCCCAGCAGGGACACTCAAAGGACCGGGGAGGCGGCCACAGGGGAGGTTGGTGGGGCAGCACACCTGGGAGGAGGCTCCAAAACTGCCCCCGTGCCACCTAACACCTCTGTCCTAGTCTTGGATCCTTGCCACCCTCCCATCTCCTGCCCAGCGCCTGGGGGTGGGGACATACCAGGCTCATGCCTCTCTTGGTGAGGAACTGGCCCAGCCGCTTGGCACGCCCCCCGAAGAACTTGCCCAGGGCGTTGATCCACGTCAGGCACAGCGGCACCCCGAAGAGGCCGTAGAAGACACAGAAGAGACGCCCCGCGGGGGTCTTGGGGGCCACGTTGCCGTAACCTGAGGAAGAAGAGAAGTGAAGCTAAGAACAGAGCCAAAGCGGGGGTAATGGGCCCAGGCTTGGAATGGCCCTGCCTCCATCTCCCCCCCTCCCCCACCTTCTCTCCCCCCTTCCCTCTCTCTCTCACTCACTCCTCACTCACACACACATCATCAGGGAGACTTGTTCTCTAAGATCACTTGCTCCGGATCTAATATATCAATACTTGGGAAATGGCATTTCCCTTGATCACACTACGGCCATGACCGTTTACAGCACCACGAGGGCGTGGGCTGTGCCTCTGCCATCAGACGGGGCTCCCCGAAGGCAGACGGAGCCCCCACCATCAGCGAGCCTTCTCCCGGTCTGAATGACAGTCTTGTGCAAACCAGAAAAAGACACCCTCTCTCGTAGCGACCCCGGAGGCACGGCGGCGGCAGATGGTCTCCAAAGACGGACATTCTTCATTCCTGCCCTTTACGCAACCGGCTGCTTGCGTCCGGGTGGCGTCTGACCCCCTCCCTCTGAATCTGGCTCCGGTGACCTGCCTGACCAGCGACATCGGTAGGTCTAAGGAGCTTGCCGCTTCTCCCCTTGGTCCCTTGAAATGCCCGCGCTAGTATGCTCCCTCCTGGAACCCACACTGAGGTGACCACACCATTGCACCTTCATCCCCGGCGGGGCCTCCCAGCAACGGCCAGCAACCTCTACCGAACAGTGACGGGAGATACGGCGAATGTCCGCCGGCCAGGTCTGCAGACTATGCCGGCGCCAGCCACTGCCTGCGAGGCCTCAAGCAAGAGCCGGCCGGTGGAAACCAGTCGGCCCACAGAACGGCGGGAGATAAGATGCTCTGTTTAATTACTAACAGACCCCGGCTTGGCGCGAGCGAGCACCGGCTGGGCGTGTCCAGTGGGCAACCTGCTCGGCCTCCTGCACGGCTCTGAGGCCATCCGTGTCTCTCTGCTCCAAGAGCCCAGGCCAGAACACCGCACACAGTCTCCCGGGTATGGCCAGTCACCAAGGACTCACTACCCTCCACCCCAGGGCTGCGAATGGCCCGACTTTACCTCGACCAGAACCGTGCTCCTGTGAGGCTCCGAGGAGCTAGGCATCACGCCGAGGGTCCCGGGACACTTACCGATGGTAGTGATGACAGTGGCTGCAAAAATCATCGCATTGGGCCAGTTCCAGTTGTTGAAGGTCTGGTTCCCTGTGATGGCCACGCCCTCACCAGCAGCATTGGATACGACCTAGAGAGAGACAACGGAGGTCAAAGGAGGCAGACAAACAAACGCCTTTCAAGTGGCAGCACTCTATTCAGTTCCTCGTAAGCATTCATTCATCATCACCATAACAAGTGGACTGTCTCCATTTTATGGGCGATGAAACATCACATAGAGGATCAGAGAGATTAAGTGGGTCACACAGATGTCAAGTACAGTTGCTCCTCAACTTAAGATGGGGTTACGTCCCAATTAAGGCCTGATGATGCATTTAATGCACCTAACCTACCAAACATCACACCTTAGCCTAGACCAGGGGTGGGCAAACTCATTAGTCCACAGAGCCAAATATCAACAGTACAATGACTGAAATTTCTTTGGAGAGCCAAATTTTTTAAACTTAAACTTTTTCTCACGCCACTTCTTCAAAATAGACTCGCCCAGGCCGTGGTATTTTGTGGAAGAGGGGCCAAAGAGCTGTGTGTTTGCAGACCATGGGCCTAGACCAGCCGTGTGTGGCTCTCGAGCCAAAGTTTGCAGACCACAGGCCTAGAACACAGAATCCGGAAAACACTGGCAACAAGGTGCAGTGTGAAGAGCTGGTTGTTGATTTGTGGGGCTGACTAGGAGCCCGGGCTCGCTGCCGCTGCCCAGCGCCACGAGAGCATCCTACCAAATATCACTGGCCCGGAAAAAGCTCAAAATTCGAAGTACAGTTTCTACGGAATGCATATCACTTTCACACCATCATAAAGTCAAAAAACTGTTAAGTCCAGCCTCCGTCAGAAGGGGAACATCTGTATGAACCCAGGCAGTCTGGCTCCCAAGCCCATCCCCTCACCTAGCCAGCGCTGCTCAAACTCACATACAGTCACCCAGACAGCTTGTCTAGTCTGGGCGGCTGGGCCCCACTGGAGTCTCTGATCCAGTCGGTCTGGGAAGAGGTCCAAAAATGTGCCTTTCTGACAAGTTCCCAGGTAGTGCTGACACTGCTGGTCCAGGGACCACACTCCGAGAGACCGTCCCGCCTCTTACAGAGGACACAGGAGGACCCTTCCGCCACCCAGCTCTCCACAGAGACGTCCCACTGCAGGGCTGGCCTGGGAGGGGCACTTATACACCTGTCACCCCCACTGTCAGGACACCTGCGAAAGTCAAACGCAGGGTCCTCCTGGATCTGTCCTCCAAGGCCACTTGCTCTCTGTGCTGGGACCCTATCCTCTTCCCCCACCCCCTTTTCTGGACTCCTTCATCTCAGCCCTGGGCCAGGACAGATCAGCAGGTGTACACGCGTCAGGGTGACTCAAAATCGTGCAGGAAGTCCCCACCGAGCTCCCCGAAACTGGGCAGGAAGGCCACCTGGGGAAGTTCGGGGAGTGGCCCAGGAGAGGGCTTATCTGCTCTGGGAAACCAATAGCTGCCAAACCTGTTTCCACCAGCCCAGCGGTCACTAAGCGGTGGTCTGCGAGGTCCAAAAAGTTGGCAACAGCTGTTCTAGCCCATCCTTCCATTCTGCCTCCACTCACCCAAACTAGCAATGGCAGGGACTGGACCCCAGGAGTTCCCCGGGCCAGGACCTGCTCCAAATCTGGGTTAGTTCTGCCCCCCTAGGAGGGCCTCAGGATGCCCCATCCAGTCTAGATACCGCGAACTTGGCCACAGTCCCTATAAAAATAAAGCCTAGGATGAGGGAAGGCAGAGCGAGGGGTAGAAGCAGGAGAGAGGCAGGGAAACCATAGCTTGAAACCACCTGCAGCTGTGACGTCCGGGGGGAAGGGAGCGGGCAGGTCGTTCTGAAGGAAGTGCAGGCTGCAGCAGCAGCAGCCCGTAGAAACGGACCTGAAGACGCTATAAAGAATTTTCCATGATGACGGGTTCATCTGCCAGGCCATACACCACACGCTTGCTGCCCTGGCCCTCCCGGCGGCTCCAGTGCCCCTGTCTCCAGGCGACCATGTGCAGAGGCTGCCCTCAGCCCTGTCCTCAGAGCGCTGGCCAGGCCTCGGGCAGGTGAAGGCACTGGGACACTGTGATATGAACAGGCCGACAGGAGAGCTAACACAAACATGAAGGCTCATCCACAAGGGTTCCTGGAAGTGAGATGTGCCCTAACGTTAAGCAGATGGAAGAGAAAGCAGAACCACTCAGCCCTCTGTCTCAGAGCGGGGAGGGTGGAGCACAGCCAATTGCCAGGGATGCGAAGAGCACACGAGGACACCTTTAGGCGGGAGCTGTACCACTGGCCAGGGAGCGGCATGCCTGCAGCGCCACGGCTGCTCATCCCCACGGAATCTCGGGGACGGAGAGATCTCAGGAGACCGGCCACCTCTGCTCTCACACAAGCAAGCAGGATGGGTTCTGGAAGCGCCAACCCGAACTCCTGCCGACAGCAGAATGCTCAGCATCCAGAGAGGAAGGGGTGGCAGCACTGGGCGCCGGCCAAGGGTCACCAGGAACCAGCCATGCTCGGCCAAGTGCATCTCCTTCCCCAAAGGGCTGCGGGGCAGTGACGGAGGGCGGAATGCCGACTACGGGGTGTAAAACATCCATGCGGACAAGACAGAGGAACGCAGGGTAGAGCTGGGATTAATTTGGGTCCACCAAAAGACGGATAAACAATCTCAAGAAGTATTGATCCTTTATCAACCAGGCCAGAGGCCCGGCCTCCTCAGCCTTTTCACGAACAGCACACTAAAGACAGAGACGCGGCTCACCAGTCGACTGGTCAAAGGATGTGAAACTGGGGACAAGGCTGGGCTGGGAAAGAGGCTAACACCCTCACAAGGATAGCTTGGGACTCAAAATCCCACCCCCAACCCCTCCCCGAAAAACTGGGCCAAAACAAGTAAGACATGACCGTCTTTCAATTTTTCATATCTCACGCTTTGGGTTAGGAAAGACGAGTGTGGGACTGGAGAGAGAAGTCCTTGGGTTTCCGCTGAGCACAAACCAGCCAACGCGAGGGTGGCCGCCAGAAGGAAGAGCCAGTGCAAAAGATAATAACTCACAATGTTAATATTAAATATTCCTTCAAAATAAAAATAAAAATATACAAAAAAAAAAAAAAAAAAAAAAAAGAGCCAGTGCAGCCCAGGCCGCGGGCACACTGCCCGTTCAGGGCTGGGAGGAAACGGCTGCTGTTGGTGCGAGGTCAGGCCACACAGGGGCACTCTGTTCCACTCTGGATGTGTTCGCGATGTCAGCCAACACGTTGGCCAACGAGCCAAGGTCCCCGAGGGAACTGGGTGGCTTTTCAGCCATCTCAGCATGGACTGCCCTTGGCCGGTGTCCATTTCTGATAATGGAACGTGTTTAGACCAACGGTGAGCACGGAACATCAGGGATGTTGGAGGCGGGGCAGGAACAAGGGTTCTCAAGGTGGGGTGGGGTGGGGTGGGAGATGACACACTCCACTGGCGTGTAGAAACGCTGCCTGGTTGTGGGGAGCATTGTGTCTGACGAGAGTGGTGGTGGTGGTGGGGCTGCTGCTGGCACTGAGCAGGGACCTGAGAGGACACCCCCACCTTATGCCCCCCCCCTCCTCATGCCGACACAGCCCACTGAGAAACAATGGCTTGCCAAAGGTGATCTGTGGCTCAAGAATACTAAGCGCTAAGGAGACATCAACCATAAGGCTGGCAAAACAAGGAACTGAAGAGGGCATTGTGGTTGGCAGCTCTGAGGCGGAAATGCGGGTTTCCTGCCTTCACCCTGTGGGAGGGGAGGGTGCCCTCCGGGGCACAGCCGCAGCCCTGGCCTGGGTTATCAGAGAGCCACAGTCAAGTGGTCACCCAGAGAGGGGTAGGCAGGGGCCATTCTAAGGTCCCCCCCTCCCCCCAGGGCTGAAAGCACCACGGACCCTCAGAATAATCCAGTGGCAGTGCTCGTGCCTCCTGGGTGAGGTGGGGAAACTGAGGCTGAGAGATAAATTGGCAGAAACGGGGTAGGTTCTGGACACAGTTGCTAATGGGCACATTTCCTGCCTCCCTCCCTTCACCACTGTCTGCCCCGGGCTCCCCAGTTCCCCGTGCCTCCTCTCTGCCCACCGTCCCCAGCAGTTGGCCTGAGCATCGGCTGGGCTCCATCTCAGCGCTGGGGAGGGCGGGGGGGGGGGGGGGGGGGGCGGGAGCAGAAAGCTGGTGCTGCTGTGTGACACCCCTCGCCAGGGTTTATGTATGTCTGACCCAACGGGCATGGCTTGACGGGCGAGGAAAGCGAGGCTCGGGGAGCTGAGGTCCCAGTGTGAACTTGGGGTGTCTGTTCCCTGTGGCTGTGGGTGGGATGCCGCCGTGCGGGTTATGGTCAGGGTCTCCCAGAATGAGGGGCTGACCCAGGCTGAGGTCATCCCTGGGTTAGGGGAGGAGCGTGGGCAGCCAGGCCAACATCCAGTGAGACATCCAATTACACTCAGTGTCCTATGGCCCGGGGTTAGGGAAACAGCCCTCTCAGGAGGAGGTGGCCCCTGCTCCCTCGAAGTGTTCTTTAACTTGGCTCCCAAATGCACACAAGACAGTGTTTTGATTTTCCACAGAGCCCTGGAGCGAGACGAGGGAGACCCCGCACACTGCCCGGGCCCCGCTCTTGTTTGGGGCTGGAGCCGAGCTCCCTGCCGCCTCTGACACCCTCATTGTGCACAGAAGTAATTTACTGAGGGCTGACTGTGCAGGGGCATCATGCTGTGCCCTCCACGAGCCTTCAACTCGTTTAATGGGGACAGAATCCTGCTGGGAAGAAACCATCGTTTTTTCCACTTTACAATGGAGGATCCAAGGCGTAGAGGCTAAGTAAGCAGCCTAAGGTCAGGATGCTCAAAGTGACCAAGTCAGGAGAGAACACTGCCTGTCTGGGTCCACGAAGCTGTCACCCTACCATTTCCCACCCCGGCCCCCTTCCGGAGGCCACGGTGGTGGCCGGGGCACACTTCCACCCTTCGCACCAGCTGAGAAAACAGTCCTGAAACCAGTCCGTCCACTCCTGCAGGCCCAGCTCTCCCAGCCAGACCTCCAGGAAGCCAGCTTCATGCCTCT